AATAACATAATATAATTGTATTAATGCTTTAAAATTTAATAAATTCTAAAATAAATGAAATATTAACATACCTGCTTCAAATATTTTTAGATGTTTAAGTCAACATCATAAAATCACACAATAACTTATAATTATTGTTAAATGGGCCGGTCAGCAAAACCGGTCGGTCAACCGGTCGGTCGGTCAAAGGCCTTTGACCGACCGTTGACCGACCGTGAACCAACCATGACCGACCGTTACCATCCCTAACCGATACCATATATCCGTGGGTATTGGTGCAAAAAAGACTGGCTAGTTAATTGAATATAATCAGAACCGAGCTTTAAAGATTCAACTGAATACTTTAAAATGCAACAAATAAAATCCAGAAATTGAGATCTATATTATTAAATTTATAATTTTACTGATTTTGCGATTCGACTATGAGATTCAAAGAATTTCAAATTTAATTGTAAATTATTGATAAAATTAGTTATTGATACTGATAAAATTAAAAAAGTCTTGCAAAATTTAAATTATATTATATAAATAAAATTTTAATTTACTTGCGAACTAAATGATTTTTACTTTCTCAGTTTTTCATAGCCACGCCTACATTAATATTGGAGATGACTGTATTTATTATTTGTATGAGGTTCCATGTCTGAAAATGAACAATGGAGATATAAATGCATGGATTTCAAAAAAAAACCCCCATTTGCTAAGAGATTTTTTGTTGAAAAGCGTGTATTTTTAGGAATGAATGCGAATCATGTAAATTTTAAGCCTTGTTATATGGAATTTTTTATGATGTATAAGAAATTATGTTTCTTCGAATGAAGTATATATTTTATTGCCACGCTCTTAGAATCAAAGGGTCATCGAAGTTATTGATCTCGTAAAAAAATAATATTTGATTATTCTTATATGGATCCTCATTCAGCTACTAAAGGGGAAGTTTTTCTCTCCAATTTGAAACCAAACTTTATCATTGAGGTTAAATGAAAGAATATTTTCATATGGATTACACACAGAGATGACAAAGATGTGTCAGTGGAATATGGGAACTTTGCTATTAAAAATGGGTTCTGGGGACCTTTCAACAAAAAATGAGATTTTTGATTCATATTATAGTATACTAAATGAACTTTATTTGGTTAAATTTTTAGAGTCTATTAGCTTATTAATAAAGCAAGCAATTA